TGGGCATCTACCTTCTCTGACACTATGAACACGCACTAGGAACCAGTCTGACCGCGTTTCGGCGTCGCCACGGTCTGGGGAAGGGTCAGACGGGAGAATGTGGACAGAACAATCCTGATGCATGGATGAACATGTAAAGCTCGTTTGCTGGATGTATGCGTGAATGCACGGGTCGAGACGCGCCTCAGTCAGACTTTTGCCAAATCCCTCCTGCCCATCCTGCTGCATGCTCATCCAATCCACGTGTGGAGCAAGATACATCTCTCGGACAGCAATCCTCACTTCTTGACTGCCCATACACGTAGCAGCACAGATCCTTTGCATCCAACTACAGATCTTCTACTCCACCGCATCTTTACGACCTTTGCAAGCCATTTCTCGCTTGCAAGTCCGAGCGACAAATATACACACCCGACAGTGCTGTTTTGAAATATCTTTCGCTTCTTTTCCGGCCTTGCAGTAAATTTTCAGATCTTCTCGACGCTTCTTTCTCGGCTCAGCTCTCGATCGACAATCTCTCCGAGCTCATCGCCAAGCTTATGGCTGAGACACGAGCAACAGCACCTTTCTGAATGGACGAAAGCTTATCGACGACTCACGAGCAACAGCGACTTCCTCCTGGGACGGAGGCTACTTACTTCAGGTCGTGGCCGGTCCATGAACTCTTCCGTCTGCGACTGATGGCAAGACACCTTGGCTGACCCCGTTTAGTCTCCGCTGTGGGGGAAACGAGATATATAAAAGATCACTTGCTCGTCACTGTCAAGCTCATATCGACGAAGCTCCTCTGAATGCATGGCTCGACTGCCAGCTGGCGACGCAAACACAGCATTGACACCCACCACTAACTCCGCCTCGGTCTTCATCATTATCATTGATCAGACCTAGCACAAGCAGACTTGCGAGCGGCAGACCTCGATACTCACAAAATCGAGTTCCCAAACTCACCCTTGTGACTCGCGACTCCAAACTCTTGTCAGGTGCTCCACAGTCGTGCCATTTCCCTCCCACCTTCGCCAGCCTTGTTGCGCTCTACTCAGCGCACAGAGAGATTCGTCTACAGTCTGGATGGTATCGGTATTCTTCCATCCATCACCAAAACCCGCAGCTCAGTCAATTCGACAACGCCGATACGGGAAACTCAAGGTCGTAGCTCTGCACCAGCATCAGCTCTATAAGCAAAGCGCAGCATTAGTGTCATCGGAGGTGCGACATCCTCAGGCCGCGGCAAGACACTGGGCCTTAGACTAGGAGAAACATATGCGCATGGTGTCTGCACGACTGCCATCTGTTTTGGATCAGCGATTCAGGAAAGTTGTGCGCTGCTGCTGCTTGGTAATCTAGCCCTGTATAGCAGCAATCACGACTGGCCAGTCTGGGTGCAAGTCCTCGGCTGCCCTAGCACTTATCATAACATTAAGCGTCTCTGTTGAATTCAGAGTCCTGCTGTCTGCACAGCGGTGGGCGTTTATTTGATTTGCCCCTCGCGAAGGACTGCTGCTGTCGGCACATCAGCTCCTCTATATCGATTTCGATCTGGTCCGGCCTTGTCACCCACCACCTGGGCTGACCGCGGCTCTTCATCTGGAGGGACCATCGGGCACCTTGTCTGCCTGACATCAACGGCGGAGCTGGCGAACGGGGAAGAGCGTGCGCGCTCATCTTCATCTCGACGCCGTCCAAATCAGTCACAGCGTACACGCGTCGGTACTTCATCGCACAACTGATCGGTACTCCATCAGCTTCCTTGCGGTCCATAGCTTCAGAAGAGAAGCTGTCCATCGAGGGACCGCCATCTGCGCCACTTTGCACTTGTACGTTCGCTACATTATAGACGCACCTGCCATCTCAACTCGCAAGTGTGACTACCCAAGTAGCCTTTGGTCCTGCCACGACCTTCTAGGACGCCTCAGCTTTTCGCGGAGGGTGCTGCGCTCCAGCACTCAAACGACCCACCATGGACTCTACGCCACCTCATTTGAAGCCACCAGGGCTGGAAGCAGAGCTGCCTGCTCCCACGTGGGCGGCACCAAGAGAAGATACACTCTTGCCTTTGGGACATGAGAAAGTCAACGCACGCCATAGCTTTGGTAGTAGGCTAGACCCTCAGCAGCCGGAATTGTCGTCTGCTTCAAAGGTCTCTAGTCCTGGAGCATCTGGCAGCCCGCTCGGCCTCGGTCAGCAATTTCGACCACCATCCAAGATAAGTCACTCGAGCAGCTCAGCGTCGCAGCAGAGCTCGACTGGACCTCTGCCTGTGCGGTATGATGAGGTTCCGGCTTGGAATGAAGGTCAACGCCAAGGTCGAGAAGTTCAAGATGTCAACACCCCTGCAGAGCGCCATCTTCACCGCGACCACTCGCACGCAAATCCTCACATGTCCCATCAAGTGGATCTTGGGGGCTCTGTTGGTGGATTTCAGGCGCCTCATCTCGACAGAAGGCACTCCGGTGCCACACACGACTGGCAGCGACAGTATCCGACAGCCTCGCACCGAGAATACGCTCAAGTCGATAATCAGCAACCGACGCACGAAGATAAGGTATCGTCTTCGGATTCGCGCGCGTGGGGTTCAGCACACCACTCTTCCACTGCAGCGTCCTCGTTCGGCTTCGCAGGTTATGACGGAGCTGCTCAAGGGCCGTGGTTTGGCCCAACCTCGTCGATGAGGAGCGGAGAGCTGGAACCTGGATCACATCCGTAAGTGGGATAATGTGGACGCGAACGGGACGGCCTACTGATCCGCACTACCCTCGAACATCTGAACAGGGATGGACTACGTCCTCATGCCTGGTTGCAATCAGGGACAGTGGCAGAGCCCGCCGCGCCATTTCCAAGCTCTCATTCTGCTGGTTGGACCGCTTCAAGAGCGGAGCGCTATGCATTTCCGACGCCACAAAGTCCTTCGACAATCACTGCGCAGCGTGCAGCTAACCCGAGCTTCCAGGCACAGACGCGGCCTTTGAGCGAAGTTGCCGCAGTCGGCGGCGAAACGGAATTTAGTATCTTCGTGGGTGATCTCAGTGAGTGCAATCACTGCAAGTCACGTCTTCCCATTGCCCGGGCTTCGCTGAAGAGGGCCAGGATGCCTTGCAGGCCCACACGTGCGAGAGGAAGATCTGGTGTCTTCTTTCTTGAGCCCACCGGTGTACCCACCGAGTCATCCTATCTCCATTGCCAGAGCACATGCCCAGCAAGCTCGGGGCGACTACAGTCCGCCTCTCCGGTGGGGCCCCGCACCTTTCAGGAGCACCAAGTCTGCCAAGGTGAGAGGTGTCTTCTGAGCCTTCATGTCCGGGAGATGTTGCTGAGACTCCTCTTGATGCTGCAGATCATGACGGACCCGAGCACCGGAGCATCTCGAGGCTTTGGCTTTGTTCGATTTGTGGACGGGGAGGACTGCAGTCGCGCGCTCACAGAGATGCAAGGCGTGGTCATTACTCCGGCAAATGGCCGGGGCCCAGGTCGACCACTGCGGGTATGCACGGCCACACCCAAGAATCGCAATTCGAGCGGGGCAGGCGCGCCTCTTACAGCACCATCGAGCGCAGTGGACGGGCTAAGATCAGGTGGACCACCGGAAGCGTACGCCAATGCGCAATCAGCGTATCCGACTGCTGGGAGACCTGTGCCGCCGGGACCAGGCCCATCCCAAATTTACGCGTTAGGGGTTGATGCGTCCTTCTATGCTGGACACCAAGATGGCATGTTCGCTCCGCCAGGCAGCGCAGCCCGCGTCGGGGACGAGTACGGAGCAGCTGCTGGTTACGGAGTTCAGTCATCACCCCCTTTCTCAGGCTCACGTAGCGAGGTCACGGTGTCTACACTGCCTCCACCGACCATGTCAGCAAAGTTCGAGCCGGTGTTAGAGATGCCTAGCATGGGAGGAACCGATAGCGCGATGGACCCAAATAATACGACTGTCTTCGTCGGTGGGCTGTCGAGCCTGATATCCGAGGAGACGCTCAAGACGTTCTTCGTACCATTTGGGGAGATTACCTACGTCAAGATCCCTCCTGGCAAAGGTTGCGGTTTCGTTCAATTTGTCAACAAAGGGGATGCTCAAAGAGCAATTGAGCGAATGCAGGGTTTTCCGATTGGCGGAGGTCGTATTCGATTGAGTTGGGGCCGAAGTCAAGGTGATAAAGCTGCAGCCGCTGCTGCAAATGCTGCATCACAGGCTGCCCAAATCGGACAACTGGCAAATTTGAGCGGCCTAGGGAGCTTGAATGCGCAGCAGCTCACACAATTGGCAGGCCTTAGCTCCGCACTGAGCGCTGTACAGAACGCTCGCCCACCAGCGGCCCCTTCTGCGTCCACGCCAGCAGCGTCATCGACGTCTGACTTAATACGTCACCTGTCAGCTTTGTCAGAAGCCGCAGCCCAAGGCAATAACAACTCAGCTGGCCACGGAGCTATTTCCACCTTTGGCGCAGCGCCACCACCACCCATCGGCACTGGCTTCAGCTCCCACTCTAGCCTTCCGCTGCCATCAGGCGCGAGCAGCTACAATGAGCAAAACGCTTCCATACCCGGCGTCTCCTCGAGCTCCGACTTTTTGCAGCAAAGGCCGCGCAAAGATTTTCAAGCGCAAGGGGGACAGCGTTCGGGGATCAACCCTGCTGAGGTGCAGCATCACTTGGAGGCCTTGCTTCAGTCGCTCGGGCGAGGCGCATCAAGTCCAACTACTGCTCAACAGAGTGCAAGTGAGCTCACTGATCGCTTTGCTTCCTTTGGCATTCGCGCTCCAAGTACGGCCCAAACCGGGGTGTCGTACCCCGTCGACAGTACCGAGCGCGTGCGTAGCCAGACGTACGACACCACTCACTACTCTGTGCAGCAACCGCAACCGCAGCCTCCACCTCTGCCCCTCTCCGCGAGGCCTCAATCACAGCCTTGGAATCAACCAGGTAGCACACCTCGATCAGCGTTACCTGCTTATCTGCGCCCTTCCGAAGCTGCAGAGACGTGGTCCAGGCCTGACATGTTCTCCCCCTTCTCGCCCGCCTCTTCGCCGAAGCCGAGACGCGACGCTTCGTCTGAGCTTGAGCGCACACCGTGAAAAGCACTGCCGCCTGCTTCGTTGGCCGCTAGTGATCTGGCTCGAACACACCAGCATCTCGTTCTCGTTCAGTACAAACCAATACCAGCGCATGCGCCCTATCTGATACCACTTGATGGAAAGTGATCAGCCGTCTTTGCTCTGTGCACGCCCCTGGACAGGCCATCCTTCTGCCCCACATGAGATCCAACAGAACCAGAATGGACCTTCTGACCACTTGCAGTATGATTCACGACCCTCGCTTCATTTTGTACCACTGCCCTCTTAGCTCGACACTTCTCCCCAAACCGCATAGCATGCGCACTCAGTCTAGTCTTGCTCCAAATGTTGGCTCTATGCCATGGCTCCGACGCAACAGTCGTACGTGTTCGACCCCTCGCAAAGTCCTTTTGCCCATCGCTGCTCATATAGACTGCAGTTGGTCTTTTTCATCCTTCTTCCATTCCGTCTCACGTCCTCCTCCTCCCAGCACCATTCCACATGGTTCCTAACTGCCGACGTCAAAAGATAGTGCGCAAATGTACCGCCTTGTTTTGCCATTAAACCCTCTGCTCTTCACTTGCACCACCTCTGCAATCCTTTGCCGTCACCAGCTTTCGCGACGACCCGCTCTCACCGTCAGCCACCTTGTCACTCACGCTTTCTTCTGCACACGCGTTTTTGCTCGCTGTACAAAGCCAAATTCATGCCTCTTGACCTTTGGTCCACCATCGACTCGCCCCGAGATCTTGTTTTGCGAGCGGTGTAATCAAGACGTTGGCGCGGCCCCTCGCACTTGTTGCGAGCTCGAGTGTGTTCATCGATGCGTTGCAGGCGAATTTGATGACAGAAGCGGGTTTGAATAGTGTACATTGCATGATGTTCCGTCTTTACCTGACGCTCAAAGGCGGCTCTACACCAGGAACGGCTCCCCACTCGAAAGCATCCGCAGCGAAGAGCTGTAACACGGCTTGAGGCAGGTCTGTCTCCTTTGGTGCTTGGTCCGCAAATGGGTCTGCTGCTTTCGCTGCTGCTTTCGCTGCTGCCCCCAGCCCTGTAGGGGGGGCAGTTGCGAAGGCGCTCGTTCCGAAGGCGCTGTTCACACTTTGAGTGCTCGCACCCCCTCCAAAGACAGAGGTCGATTGTGAAGCATTGCTCGGTGCTCCGAAAGCCGAGTTCGATGCGATGTGGCCCGGCGCAGCAGATCCGAAAGCAGATGCGCCGAAAGCGCTGGGAGCGCCAAAAGCCGACTGCGTTTGCCCTGGCAAATTGGATCCAAAAGTTGAAGTATTCGGCGTGCCGAAAGCAGATGAGGGTGCAGGGGGTGCATTAAATGCCGATGATTTGCTTGGGGCGCCGAAAGCGCTTGGAGAGCCAAAGGCGCTCGCACCGCTCTGCTGCGACCGTGCACCAAACGCTGAGGTGGAAGCTGGCGCAGGGGATGGGTTGACGGCACCGAATGCGCTCGGCGTCCCAAACGCGCTGGAGCCTGCGCTCGCACCAAATGCAGAAGTCGTGCCAAAAGCGCTCGGACCTGCCGTCGAGCCAAATGTGCTTCCAGTGCTTGGCGCAGTTGGGCTGCCAAAAGCGCTCGGAGCTGCCGCGCTTCCAAAGGCACTGGGCTTTGAAGCGCTGACCGCGGAAGGTGAACCGAAGGCGCTGGGTGTGTTCGTCGAGCCAAAGGCGCTTTGAGCAGATGTCGCACCAAAAGCACTAGGCGCAGAAGTGGCCCCAAAAGCGCTCGGGGCCGAGGTTGCACCAAACGCGCTAGGGGCAACGGATGAACCAAACGCGCTTCCCGAAGCAGACGCACCGAATGCGCTTGGAGCTCGCGCTCCAAAGGCGCTGGTGGAGCCGAACGCGCTGGTCGGCTGGGCAGCAGCCCCAAATGCGCTCGTGCTGCCAAAGCCAGAATTCGAGGCAGCGGGCGCACCAAAAGCCGAACTGCTACCGGAGCCGAAAGTGGATGTGGGGCCGAAAGCAGAGGTCGATGGAGCGCCTGAGCCGAAGGCACTTGTGCTTGCTCCTTGTGGCTGAGAAAACGCGCTGGCAGTGTTGCCGCCACGGGTATTCGTGCCGTACTTCTTGTTGAATTCGTTCAGCGATTGCTGCTGATTGGACGCCGCTTTACGGTATGCAGCTTGCGTATCTCTCAAGATCGCATCGTACTCTGCATCTGCGGCCGCATTGAGTTGCGCTTCCAAGTTGACCTGTGGACGGCATATGAGAGGCGCAAGATGAGCAGGCAGCTCCATCGCCCCCGCTGTACGTTGCGAAGCCCACATGAGGACGTGTGATGTACTCACATACTCGTTGCCCCTGCCTTGAGCCACAAGCTCGATGGCCTTCAATCGCATCTCCTCTAGGGACACGTCTCCAGTGTCTTTCAGTGAAGGCTCATTCCGAGCAGGCCCGTAGCTGCTCAATTTCCAAACAGGCCTGTTCTGCGCTTTCACATCGTCCGCGATGTTGTGTGGCGAGAGCTCCGCGCTTCCCGCTTTCCACGCGATGCCAGTGATACCTGGCGGCAAACCTTGCACTGCACCTGCAATTTGATTCGCGGATGTGTTGTTTGACTGGGCATTGTTGCCGAAGCTCGAAGGTCGACCGAACGCGCTGGCCGTCCCGAATGCCGAAGCTCCTGCTCCCGACCCGCCAGTAGTGCTCACACCAAAGGTCGAGGGTGGGGCGAAAGCACCACCTCTCCCAGAACCAGCGTTGTTCCTGTTGCCTCCAGCCACCCACACGTTGTTGCCGGTGGATGCACCAAAGGTGCTGCCTCCTGCTTGCCCGTTGCGAGGATGCTAGACAAGTCACATCCATGGAGCGAGTGCACAGAGGAGGATGCGAGCTTCAGTCATGGCTGCGCTCTGCGCTTAATCATCTTGGGATGACGCCCCTGATGTTGTCTTTCACTTGACGGACTCACCTCGTTCTTGCAAGCATCTCCAAATCGGCACTGCCCTCGAAGAAAGTAGGAGCAGACGACCATGATTACACTGCACTATAACACCTGAGCCGGCAAGCCTCGGTAAGCAGAGTCTCTGGTTGGCGATCACGTTTGCAGCTGGGGATGACGATTTTGTTGAATCATGTCGTCTGCTCACATTCACGATTCTTCATCCGTGATGGTCGTCCGGGCGTGGGGCTAAGCGGTGTTGAACAATGCATCGCGATCCTGCGTCCGATTCCACGCATCATGCACACAACTCACGACTCACGTGACTGCAGCTTGACGATATATGGTGATGCAAGAAGTCACGTGAGCATGCGTCGCCTTCATTTCATCCAAAGTTCGAAATTCAAAATTTGAGGACATGCACGCGTACCGCGTTACGCGATCGATACGCGCGCGCCTATTATTATGGCTGCTAGCTGTGTCCGAAATTGCCGCGGAACAGCATATCCTTTCCGATGTGCCGAGCAGTCTTTGCATGCAGGCACTCCAGGCAGCAGGCAGAGCAAACGAGGTTGTGAACTCAGCAGGGACGCTCATCGCGAAATGAAGCGGTCTTCCGTGCGGTGTGTCTCGGTATTTGCGGGCCGGTTCACACAGCGCTGCCCTTCCATCGGTGCAGCAAAGCAAAAAGCGGGGACCTCGGCTCTTGGGCGCGACGTGATTTGGCCGTCTGCGTGGATTTTGATTCGTGATTCAAGATTGTGATTGCTTGGCCAGCAGCAGGCATGCAGGCACGGTGTTTTCGCGCGTTTAGCAGTCAGTGAGTGCATGCAGCATGTGATGACATCTGTCTTCTATAGCTGCAGTCTTGATTGATGAGTCGTAAGTCATGTCATGCATCACGTCGTCTCCTCTCAAGTCTCTGCAAGGTGCGGTACGGCTCTCTTCCTCCGCGTGTGCCTCAAACCATCATGGCGAGGTCGAGTCACGCTCGATTCGATCGCTTATTCTGCGGCCGACTCAGCTTCTCATTACAATAAGAGAAGCTCCTTGCGTACCACTGTGGCTTCGCGCACTCGGCCAACTCTACTTCGGCAGCAGAGCGCGAATCGCACGATCTAGCTAGCTGCATCAGCAGTGAAACAGGTTGCAGTGGCTGGCTGCATACCGATGACTGTCAGAAGAAAGACGGTCTGCAAGCGTCAGAGCATCAAGAAGTCGTAAAGGTTTCCAGTGTTATAAGGAGCTGCTCAGCGTCTCTTTTCGACCTTCAACTCTCTCTAACCTATCAGCGCCCCACCGTCAACCTTGACCAACATTGCTCAGCTGTAACATCCGCTTCCGCGCTGGTACCGAAGCTGGTCGCCATTGCCAAGGCAGCAAACATGTCTGCACTTCAGCCCACCCTCAGCAATAGCGGTGCAGCACGAGCTGCGCCCGATGCTAGACAACAAGCTCTGCTAGAAACGCTGCGACCTCACCGCTCCTCTCTACCCACCACACTCTACCTCTTGTCGTTCTGTCCGAAACTCTCTTACCGGCCTCGCGAATTCTTCGGGCATCCAGGGGTCATCTACGCCTTCGGATTCTTCAGCGCCCTAGTCGCCGGTCTTGGCATCTTATCCCTCGACATTCTCTATGGTGTAGTGTGGACAGCACAGATCAGCGGACCTGATGTTCCCGAGTCCGTGATCAGATCTTCTTCGAACAGGACAGCATGGATCATGACAGTATGCGCCTGCATCTACTTTGTTTTCTGTTGGGTCTTCTTGGCTTGCTTCTCTTCCGCATCTCACCAGCTCAGCCAAAGATTGGCGCACGCATACGTCGCCTCTTGCCTCTCTCAAGATGCTGCGTTTCACGACAAACATGGAGCTGGCGAAATTGCGACACACGCCGGCAAGGAGGTTGGACTGATCAGAGTGGTGTATGGCGAAAAGGTGGGTGCATAGAGACGCAGCCTGCTCCGTCTGGCCGAGTGTACCAGCTCCGTCTGCTAACGGTTTTCACTTCATCCTTTGCGAAACTCCATAGCTCGGCTTCGTTGTGTGGTCAATGTCCACCCTGATCGCATCGGTAATCACTGGCTTCATCAAGAATGCGCGTGTAGCGGGAACGTTATTCTCCCTGATCCCTTTCGCCATCATTCTCTTTACCGTCATTGCCATCTACCGTGAAAAGGTGGCTGGACCCTTGCTTAGACTAGAAGGCCAGGCCAGTAGCTTCACAGAAGAATGTCTTTCTGGCGCACGAATCCTACAAGCCTTCGGTATGCGCTCTCATGTCGTCAAGCGATTCGATGAAGCATACCTGCGGCCTCTCCGTCAGCTGGGTATCAAGCGTGGATACTATCGCAGTGGGGAGAACGCAGTTTTCTGGTTCACAGTCATGCTTTGTGAGTTTCTTCATCGCTATCATGGGCCACTAGCGTGCTGTCCTCTGGGTGACGGGCACTGACAAGTTCTCTTCACCATCGTGTCGTAGCGTATCCGCTGGCTTTCTTCGCTATCGCTAGATTCTTCGGAGAGACCGGCCCTTCGTGAGTGTCGCTATCCGTATGCAGCAGCTATGTGGTCTGTGCTGACCTCGAAGGCCTGTCTTCGCAGACTCACCGCTTTCTGGAACTACCTGAATGCTCTATTCGCGATGGCAAACGTGGCACCCATGGTCTCCAGCCTAGTCGACGCCCACTCTGCCATGACATTCCTTCGGCGCACCATCGAGCGGCAACCACTCATCGAGCTCCGGGATGCCGGTGGCGAGAAACCCGTTCTCACTGGACCTCCTTCCGTGGATCTGATTGACGTGCGGCTTGCATACCCAAGTCGCCCAAGCATCGCCAGTCTCGATGGCGTCTCGCTCCACATTCCCGCCGGAAAGGTCACAGCTTTGGTGGGCCAAAGCGGGTCCGGCAAAAGCACAATTACTGAGCTGCTGATGCGCTCATATGACCCCTTGACCTCCAATTTGATTCGGGAAGATGATGCTGCAGACGAAGCAGCTGACCGTGCCGCTCTAGGCATGCAGACTGAGGAAGAAAAGGACGCTGCAGCGACCAAAAAGAAGAAGAGTGGTTTGCTGCGATCTGTTACCAAGCCGCGTCGCAAAACGACTGAGAGCAGCGAGAAGAGCGACGAGGCCGACGTCGAGTCTACGGCTGCCATCAAGGCTAAAGGAAAGGCTCACATTCAAGGCCAAGGCAAGGTCCTCTTTCATGGTCATGATTTGCGAGACCTCAACCTCAGCTGGCTCCGGTCGCAGATCGCCATTGTGCGACAAATGCCGCAGGTCATGTCAGCCACTATCTTCGAGAATGTGGCAGCGGGTCTCTGCGGTACGCCTTACGAGTACCACACCCCGAAAAGTGGACAGACCCTGTCACCAGAGGAGCAGACCCGGTATAATGCGATCCGCGACAAGGTGGTCGAAGCACTTGAGAAGGCGCAAGCATGGGGATTCGTCTGCAAGCTACCGAATGGCGTCGACACGCATGTGTCGGGAGGCAAGACGGGACTGCTCTCTGGAGGTCAAAGACAGCGCATCGCCATTGCGCGAGCACTCATCCGCCAGCCTGCACTGCTCATTTTGGATGAAGGCACATCCGCCTTGGATTCCCAGAGCGAGGCCGGAATTCGCGAGATGCTGAAAGAGGAACAAGCCAAGCGCGGTATGACGACCATCCTCATCGCTCACAGACTCAGTACGATAGCACACGCGGATCAGATCGTCGTTATGCGAGCGGGACAGATTGTCGATCGTGCGACGACAGAGGCCCAAGAAGGCTCTGCTCACGATCAGCTGATGCAGGCCAAGCGCCAGGACGAGACTTACCGTACGATGGTGTTGACGCAGCGCGCGGCTTTGTCACAAGACTCCACCTCCGACGAACCCCAGAGCGATGACACATCCGACGCAAGCTCATGCGACGAGGTGCTCAATTCCGACATGGCGACTACTCGAGTGGCACCATCCCTCCAACCTTTCAGGTCTCCCTCGCACTCGTCGGGTCTTTCAATGCACTCTCTTGCCCCTCGGCGCAGCCGAGTCACCGACATTCCTATGCCGATGGCTGGAGGTCGCGGAGGTGTACACTCTCATCTGGGCCACGCCGAAGAAGCAGCCGCCCCCGCAGCAGAACAGCATGTAGACAGCGACGCAGGAACTCCGAAGAAGTATCTGAGCAACTTTTTCAAGCTTGCTGGTCGATATAAGAGTCTCTGGTTGATCGGCATTGTCGGAGGCATTGCAACAGGTGTGGCCTTCCCAGTGGCTGGATGGAGAACCGGACCTGCCGTTGATGGTCTGACCATTCCTCGCGAGACAATGAACGCCCTCAGAGTCTCCGTCACAAATCGTAACGCCCTTTGGTTCTTCCTCATCGCCATCGCTGTTCTCCTCCTGGTCATCATCCACTCGAGTGCTCTGGAAGCGGCATCGGAGTTGCTCGTGCGCAGACTCAAGGTGATGGGCTTTGCCGCTGTGATTCGACAAGAGATTGGCTGGTTCGATTCGCCGGACAACCATCCTGGATCGCTCACCTCTGCCGTCGCGACCAATCCTCAGTCGGTGGCCGCGGCGACCGGTGTGATCTTCGCACAGATTTTGATCGGCTCCGCCAACCTGAGCGGTAGCGTCGTGCTGGGCTTCATCCTTAGCACAAAATTTGCCCTAGTCGTCCACGCTCCAATCGTTGCCATTCTACTAGCTGGTGGGGTCAACGTCTACTTTTTGGAGCGCTACGAACGCGACGTCTCTGTTCCAGCTGGCCATGCTGCATCATACGTGGCGGAGAACATGGACGCTGTGCGAGAAGTGGCTGCGCTCGGCAGAGAGCTCGAAATCATGCGAGTCTTCGATGAGCGCGCAAAAGCAGCCCCTTCGAGGAACAGGTACCTCATCTTTGGAGCGGGCGGCTTTGCCTTTGCTCAGGCGATGGTGCTCTTCGTTTCTGCGCTCGTCTTCTACTGGGGAGGCCAGCTGTATGCGGACGGCACCATGTCTCAGAGCGTTCTCTACTCTGGGTTTGAAGCGGCAGTCATTGGAACTTTTTCGGCAGGAAGGCTTCTCACATTTCTGCCAGACATAGGACGTGCAGCGGCAGCGTTCAAGATGGTCATTGGATGGTCCGAACGAAAGCCCAAGATTGCTTCGATGATTTCCGCCGATGCACCTCCTACGCCCGAAGAGAAACGATTCGCGGGACTTGGCGACATCGTTTTCAGTGACGTCGAATTGAGATACCCCCAGCGACCGGACCATCCCGCTTTGCAGCACCTCAACTTGACGATCAAGAGTGGCAAGACGCACGCTTTCGTCGGACCGAGTGGCAGCGGCAAGAGCACCATCCTGCAACAGATTGCCCGCTTCTACGATCCCTGCCAAGGCACGCTAAAAGTGGGTGATGTGGACGTGCGCAAAATCCCGCTGGAAGAGTATCGCGAATCCATCGCGCTGGTCAGTCAAGAATCGGTCCTGATCAGCGGAAGCGTTCGATGGAACCTGAGCCTAGGCGCCAGAGACCCTTCGAGCGTCACGCAAGAGCAGCTGGAAGAGGCGTGCGAACAAGCAAACATCTTGGACTTCATCAGGGGCTTGCCACAAGGCTTCGACACGGACTGTGGAACAAAGGGGACCCAACTTAGCGGTGGACAGAAGCAACGCATCTGCATCGCCAGAGCACTCATGAGGGACCCGCAGATTCTTTTGCTGGACGAAGCGACTAGCGCACTGGATGCTGAGTCGGAAGTAAGCGTGCAGAGAGCGCTTGACAGGGCGAGCAAAGGTCGCACTGTCGTCACCATTGCCCATCGACTGAGCACGATCAGACATGCGGACACCATCCATGTGGTGGAGGATGGCCAAATAAGGGAATCCGGTACACACTCGGCACTGCTGGAAAGGAAGGGTCGATACTTGGAGTTGGTGCAAGCGCAATTGTAGCGCTCCTTCTTGCGCATCGTCTCCGTGGACTCGCCTCCCTTTTGCTGCTGCTTACCCTCTCGCAACGTTCAATTTTTAAAAGTCACGATTTTTCATTATGAATTCGCTTTATCTACTTTATACGACGACGCAATGTCACTTTCATCACCGACTTGAGTTGCACGAACATCGCGTCTGGAAGACGTTTGTGGATACATTTACCTTCGGCGAGCCGACGAGGTAGCTTCGTCGTAGCCAGGGAGATCGCCGTGCTCTCCAGAATCTGGGTTCGCTTGAGGCGCTCTCGGGTCTAGCTCGTTTGCGCCTGGCGCAGCTTGAATGACCGAAGCTCTTCGCTCTCGCTGCACCTCTTCCTCCTCTTCCGCTTCCCTTGCGGCGGCAGCTGCGGCCAAATCGGCCTGTCCAGGCATAGAATCGGTCGACCGAGCCTCGCTTGCGCTCGTGATGTGCGTGGTCAATGCAGTGGAGGGGGTCGCTGTTTGTGCTGAAGTGGCTGGGGCTGAAATGCTAGCTGCTGCGTTTACACTAGATCCTGGAGGTGGCGGCGAATAGGTAGCTAGCGCTCGACAGAAGGAATGGTTTGCTCAGCATAGCATAACAAGCAACGCGCATGAGCGATGTTTTCTTTGGACTCACGCAAAGCTTCGAAATGAGCAGATGCAGCACCTTGTTCCAACCTGTTTTTGGCCTCTTCGACCGCATCCTTGAAAAAGGACCCGCCACCTTCATTGAACCAGATCTTGACAAGGGACATCCTGGCCGAGCTATCATTTGTGCTTTCATCCCACAGGCCTCCTCCACGCACGGCCAAGATCCTGGCTTCGTAGTAGGCTTGACCGAATATGGGAATCATGTAGCGAGCATCTTGCCAATTATTCAACGGCACAGAGAGGGAGTGGAGCTGAGTGGGCGTGGTCGACGTATCTTGATGCGAAGCTGATGGCTGACCAGCAAAGGGCTGCTCCAGAAAGAGCACCTGGCAGAAAGAATGATTGGCCGCGAGATGAGATTCAGGTCAGACAACACGGTCTTAGGACTGTCCCAACGCGGAGCTAATCGCTCAATGCGGACAACCAAAGGCAGAGAGCACGGCGCTCACCCGCTGGTTCGTGCAGAACGCCGTGCCTTTCGACTCTAGCTTCTTGTTAAACGTGCTAGATTGCAAGCTGGCCTCGATATGATTCACAAAGCAGATTCCAGCGAAGTGCATCGCAATGAACGTCAGTAAGACTGATGCTTGAGGTGCGTAGATCGCTTTTACCAACCTGATCTGACAATGCTCGACGGAATAGAACACCTGCGTGGAAGGACAAGGATGGTCAGTGGCAACCGGCAGAAGCGCTGGTCTGAGGCAGCAGCATTGATTGCATCGAGATGCAGCTTTGTCATTTCACCTTTTCGTGCGGCAGTGGCACAGGTCTCCTTCCATCCTCATCCACCATGGTCCAGTTGAGTGCCATCTTGACACAGAGTGCGTTCTGTGACTTGACACCCCTTGCCTCAGAGGGGTGTTGAGATCTCCTCAGCTTCGGGCACCTTGTAAGCGGGTGTATCCTGCCCTTGAAAGCTTTTGCACCATAGCTTCTGTGGAGAGATGATGAGGTGGAGAATCAAGGATGAGAAAAACCCGGTCATACGAGTCCCAGTCGGGCCTGATGGACCCCACGTTCGGGGCATTGCGCCTGCAAGTGCTTGGCATCCACGTGACTAATGTGCAACAGCAGCAGTTGGGCCGTGCACGCTGCGAGCGAGGCTGGGGCGGGGCTGGGCTGGGCTGGGCGACGCTAGGTAAAGCGCCTTCTGGCGCAGCGCCATGCAAGCTTGCAGCAGTCAGGCAAGGCAGAGGCTGATGGCATGCATGCATGCATGCATGCAGTGCACGCAGATGTGCAAGAGGTCACCTCGATATACGATGATCAAGGTGTTGTCATGACAGAGACAGCAGCATCTTCGATCCCCTCTTCGATCACAAGCAAGTCCAAAGCTACCGGCATTGCTTTCCCGAGCAGTGCGCCAATCAGACGAGACGTCGATCCAACGCGTCCCTTGTGCACGACTTGGGTGCATAAAAGTTCGCCCTCTTCTGCGACATCCTCTGCTGCTTGGGCCTTCACAATGGTCGGGGGAGGAGGCAGCAACCTGCGCACTGCCAATCACGGGCATCCTCGTCGCCCTTCAGGCCGAATACGAGGTCCAGATGAGCTCCGTTTGCCCATGTTGACTCTCTCAGCATTAGGTGCACAGTCCATCTGGTCGCTCGAAATGGCATTCGCCTCGCCCTACCTCATTTCGCTGGGTCTCAGCGCAGCGAGTATGGCACTAGTCTTCTTAGCAGGTCCAACATCCGGTTTGATAGTCCAGCCTCTGATGGGAATGATCTCGGACCGAAGTTATCATCCTTGGGGAAGGAGAAGAGCTTTCATCCTAGCTGGAGTGATTGGTACCACTGCTAGTGTTGTTGGATTGGCTTGGGCTAGAAGCATTTCTGACTTGTTAGGAATGGGCTTGACAGCTACGAAGCTCATCGCGGTGCTTTGCATCTTTGGTATCGATGTGGGGGTGAATGCGCGTGAGTTTGTCTGGCCAGCGCTTCCGTCGTGGCTCGAGTGTCTTACACTTGCTTGGCATACATTCTCAGTGAATGCTCTGGACCGCGCCTTAGTGCTCGACCTCGTGCCTGCTGCCTCTCAATCATTAGCTCATGCCTGGATGGCCAGGCTGGCAGGCACAGGCTCGGTCATGGGCTTCTTGATAGGTCAAGCTCGTCTCGAGGATGTGTGGCCTTTCAGCATCATTGCTGGGTCGACGAGTCAGTCTTCAGGCCAGGAGGTCGATGCGGAGGTGGGCAAAATGGAAGCACAGCTCCGCGCAGTTGCGGCCCTGACCATACTCATAAGCGTCGCAACACACGCTGGAACGGCATGGGCGGCTGATGAGGAGCCTTTGCGCCGCGAGTCAGCTTCTGAAACTTACGCACAGCATTCACGCAAAGGTCTGCATGCTATCAAGGAGCACGTAAGCGAGCTGCGCGAGACTGCTTTCTCCCTTTCGAGGCCCATTCTCGACATCTTTGTAGTGCAGTGTGAGTAGCAGCATGCATGGATGCCAATATTGCATCAGACTGATCACGCTTCGGACTCCATAGTCTGGGCATGGATAGCTTGGTTTCCCTTCCTCTTTTACATGTCCCTCTATCTGTCCAACCTGTCTATCATTGCCGGCTCAGCTCTGACAGCTTCGACTCGATTCGCCTCACTAGTCATGGCTGCACACGCGACGCTCTCGCTCCTAGTCGCCATCTTTGTGCCGCCCGTGTTGCAGCGAAATGCGCCCAACGCGCTTCCAACTCTTTGGGCTAGCAGTCTGGGGCTATTGAGCATTTGTTTGCTCGCCACACTTCCTGCTGCTATCTTTGCCAAAGGTTTCTCCTCCACCGTCCTCGCTTGGTTCCTTGTCGTCACTGCCGGCGCGGCATGGGCGTTGACGCATTGGGCTCCCTTTGCCATTGTGAGTGGAGCAAGTTCAGGCGAACAAGACACTGGAAGCGATACTCATTCAGATCGAAAACCTTCATTGCAGCTTGGCGTGCTCATACAGAAAGAGAGCGCGGCTCCACTGGCAGGCGAAAGCGTTGCACTCGCCCGGGTTCAAGGCAGAACCTCCGTCAATGCGGGAAGGCGTTCAAGACATGCCGTAGGTATTGAGCAAGAGCAAGAAGAAGCCGAGGGTCTACTTTTCAGAGACCCCAACACAGATGTCGCAGAGGATGAAGGGGCCGGGACTCCAAGGGAAGGGCACGGTGGTAGAGCGGAGAGGACGGAAGCAGATCGAGTACGGCAACAAGGAGACGTCTCGAGAAGCGCGGGAGCAGGCAGAGCTTCCCACTCAGAGTCTGATGAGGACGAAGATCCAGAGGGTGTCTTGAGCTTTGCTCCCGAGGCTGTGCCCCACGTGGATGTCAGCCCGGACAGGGCAGGAACTGTCTTGGGTCTGCACAATGTAAGTGAGGCTGATGGTGCGGACGATATGAGAGAGAGAGATTGCTTTGCTGACGGCACTCTCCGGGACATCCTCCAGGTCGCGATTGTGCTACCGCAATTTATCGTCACGCTCGTATCGACGCTGAGTGAGATGGGCGTGACTCGAGCTGTGCTAGCTCCACCATCGCTGACGCTGGCACGCCTCAAATGCCGACGGCAGTCTTTGCCGTACTGGAGCCGGGTCAATCCGCTTTACCCCGTGGTCATGCAGCAACAAATCAGGCACACGGCTCAAGTCAAGGCGCAGCGTCTCTCGCCGGAACTTCAGCCGAGGCTAGCGACTTGAAGTCCAAGCATGGACTGGCGGGACTCGTTTGCATTTTTCTCATTGGTTCGCTGTCCTCTGCCGTCGCTTGCTTGCTGGCTCTCCGGGCTGCACGAAGGCATGCTTCAGTCTTTTCTACATCCTAGAGCAAAGCAGAATCAGACCCTGAAATTATGTACCTTAGACGTCCCTAATCTGCGAAAGCGGTCCATCATGTCATCGTCCCACGTCACCGACTTTCTCGACGCGACATCAAATGCATTCAGAGATTAAAACAAAGTGTTCGAATTGCAGTCCATCGAGTAGTGCAAGGTGCAAAAAAATTTTGAGTGTTGTGAAATGGGTGAGCACCAATGCGGCGGCGCCGTCAGCAACAAGTAAGCATTGAGCGATAGCTGCCACATGCATGGAAAGCGTGAAGACGGTGACAGAATGTGAGGACGAGCACGGGAGTAATGAGTGGAGTGCGTGTGTGATAGCTTGGGATGAAGGCATTGATTGATCACCGGATTGCTTATGAAACGCGAACGACGACGGCACCCGGCTCCTCTTCGACGCCTCGAATGACTGGGTCGAACGCACGAGGGGCGTCGGCGAATGGCAAGATGGATCTCAGTCGAGGGCAGACGTCCCCACGCTGAGCAGCCACGCGCACGGCTTCCAAAGCCTCTTGACAGTCCTCGCCTTGATCCGTACCGACCCATTCGTACCCGATGTTTTTGCGATCTTTTTTGAAAAAGCTGCGTCGTAGGGATCGCAGATGAGAACGAAGATTAGGGTTTGCCGAAGTGTGTTCGTCCCCAAAGCAAGTGGTGAATTGACCGCCGTTGGCAAGAATGCGCCGAGCGGCATCATAGATTCTCCGTCCGCCCACAGTGTCCACGACAAGGTCAAAGCTGGACTCATGCAGGGAGTTGATTGCCCAAAGCGGTTCCCCAATGACGACTTCGTGTGCACCATTGGCTTCGCATACCGCGACACCATCGGATACCGAAGCAGGGCACTGCGCAACGACGATGAGCCCAAGAGGGGCGCACTCCTGCATTGTCAGAAGGCCGATACCGTCGTGGGCGTTGAGGATGAGAATGCGCGCCCCGCGCGGCACTTGGGAGCAGTGATTCTGCATGAGCTGATAAGACATGACTCCTGTCGCTGGCAAGGCGGCGATCTGTTCCGTAGTCAAGCAATCTTCGGGTGCTTTTGCGATGAGGTTCTGCTCGATGACCATGAACTCTGCAAGAGCACCTGACTTTTTCGCGGTCTGCAAACCGAAGATGACATCTCCCCGTCGTACTTTCTTGACCTCCCAACCTGTCTCCATGACACGACCGGAAAACGACCGGCCTGGAACGAAGCCGTAAGCGCTTCCGCTTCTGACTTTCTCACGCAGCACCGTCCTATCGAACTCATCGATCGCTACTGCGATGACTTGGCACAGGACTTGAGTCGAAGTGAGCTTGCGCGGTGGTGGAGTATGGGAGCTGAGCGCCATTGTCGTTTGTCCAAGCTCATCCTGTAGATGCTCCGGCACCTCAGAGGAAGTACGAGATGCGCCAGAGCCGGCGAGAGGACCCGCTGGCGCGTCGATCGAGCGCCTCTTGCTATGTGACTTGGCCTCTTGCATGAACGCTCCGCTCGCCACAGATACCGTGTTCATAGTCGTGCGAGCGTAAAGCCTATCGTCGATGGTGTTTTGTGAGCGAACAGGATCCTTGGGCCTATAGGAGGCCGTGGGCACCGCTGGCAGGCTCATAGCTGACTGCGAAGCCGACCAGCCGCTCTCTCTCGATGCTGCCGACTCTGGATAGTAGCGGCCATGACCGTCAACGCTTTGGGTCGCAGGTGAAGCCGAGCCCCGGCGGTCGCCAAAATGAACGGGACTGCTTGCACCGTCCATGCTCAGCCTTGACCGAGGGACCGGTAAATAGGCATCAGTGGCGGCACCAATCGGGGCGCTCCGCACAAGGGCAGGAGTGGCTCCGATAACAATGCTGCTGTTGCTTCGCGACGCCATGGAGGCAGGCACGCTGTTGTACACAGATGCGTGCCCCGAGCTAAGTCCTCCACTGACCGGAACAGGACTTGGTCCTCGACCATACGAGCCCACTGGGTTGAGGCTTGTTGGACTTGCGTCGTTTTGCACTGGGCTGGGTGCCGCGTATTCGCTAATTGGACTGCTTTCCCACTCGTTGATGGCGGACATGACCGCGGTCCTCGCCTGACCACTCGGACCTGCGGAGAGCGTTCGTATCTTTCGAGGGTGAGGTGCGTAAAGACGAGAGTAAGAGCCGTCCGATACCGCGCTTCCGGCCGCTGAAGAAACAACAGATCCAGGAGCTGAGATGCTGGGCGCAGGCGAGGGCGAGCCGGATGGAGAGGCTGACCGCGACGCGGAGAGCTGCGAGCCTGCGTTCGACTCCGTGCGGGTTCCAACGGACGACAATACATCCTCATCACGCACGCTGCCAGGCGCGCTGGGTAGGGTGGGTATCTTTGGGACAGGAGGGGCGTCCGGTGCAGCCTGCATGAACGATGCGAAGCGCGACTGTCAGTCGTAGGGGTACAATCTTGACGCATCGCCGAGGCGAGCACTCACCGGCTTGGCCTTTCGATGCGAACTCTTCTCCTTGCCTGCTTTCTTCGAGCTCCTCTTTCGCTCCATCAAAGGCGCAGCCTCCGCGGACGTGGCATGGGGCACATCACTCGACGCGACTGGAACACTGCTCGTCCGACGCGCCGAAGAGGCGACCGTCGTGGCGACTAGGCCTGGCGGCAGACTCAGACCTTTGCCGGTGTACACTTGGTAGCTGACAGGATGTTTCGTCGATGTCGAAGCTGAGCGCGCAATGGTGAATGAGGAACCCGCAGTTTCCTCACCCGGCTCCGAGGCTGCAATTGAGCTGCGTTTGCGACTTGTAGACTTGGTCGATGAGGAGCGACGGAGCACGCCAGGCCTGCCCACTTCCGCAGCCGTGTCATTGTCCTCCGCGAGTGACTCTGTTGCAGGAGGACGCGAGGCACCGAACGAGGGTCGAGACTCTAGTGCTGGTGGAGTCGGCGGAATGAGGTTCACGTAGTGCGGCTCAGATTGCTCGCGCGCTTGAGGGGTGCGTGATCCGAAAGTGGGCTCGGGCCGGTTGATAGCAAGGGGCGTGGTGTCATCAGGGAGGGTTTCCGGAGCTACTGCATTCTCAAAGGAGGGAACGGGAGGCATTGGCAGCTTTTTGTTCAATGTGCCGTCTTCGTCCACCACTGCGGCCGGCTGTGAAGGTGGCACTGTTTGCGACTCTAGCGCTGGTTCTACCTCTTTGCCTTTGCCTTTGTTCACAGCTGGCGCACGCTGGTCGAACAAGGGTGCGTGGCTGACCAAAACGTCAGAGGCGGATGGTGTAGAAATATTGGTGCTCAACGCGCTTTCGCCAGACCACAGGTCTTCCATCGGCGAGTCGCCAACTGTCTCACGACGGAGTGCCGGAGTGGCAAGAGGGGCAGATGCAGGTGCAGGAATATCCGCGGACTGCACAGAGTCTTCATTAGAAGGCGAAAGCGATGCAGCACCGGCTGACGCTGTGGCAGAACCAGAAAGGTAACGGCTTCAGTTCCGACCGATCGCTGCGACTTCTGCGCATACATGACTCACGCTTGGAGGACTGATCATCGTTCAGTGCAAACAGGTCAGGAGCAGTGGTGAACTTCAGGGTCGAGGCAAAGCTGGGCAGCGCACGAGGTGACTGAGGCGACTCTGGTGCGTCCAGATATGCCGACGTTGCAGAAGGCAATGACGGACTAGCCTGCGATGCCGGCAACGTATCCGCTGATGTCGCTACAGCAAGCTTAGGCAAGGTCAAAAACGCAGCCCTGTTGAGTGGATCTTCCCTCGGGGTGACGTCAGGAGTGACGAACTCGTTTGCCGATTCGAATCCGTCCGTGCTGCTATCTCCAGGCGAAGTCAGCCCGCTAGACACGCGATACAAGGCATCAGGCCCCTGCAGCGAGAGGTTCAGGTCGGTACTTCGCTCAAGTGGGTCTGGCTGTTGATTCGAGCTTTGTACCTTGTCGGGGGCTGGATTCGCAAGCGAGTCGCCCTTGAACGGCTCGCTCGACTGCACATTGCCCGTTCCCTGAGCAAGCTGCGCTTTGCGCTCAGCTGAGCGCTCCGCTTTGGCAATCTTGCGCTCTTTCTTTGCCCATGCGGAAGGTGGCGCTTTGGCCGTCTCCTGCCCCTCGTCATTTTTGGAGTCGTCCTTGTCATCGTTGGCGAAGGTAGCCTTAGAAGCACCTCCCCTCCTCGATTTTTTCTCCCGCTTTTCGTCCTTACCAGGCGAGCCAAAATTGAAGAGCGTGTCGGCAAGCGACTTGGAGGGCTTCGGTTTCAAAGCTGACTTGGCAGGAGCAGGTTTGTCCTTGCTTTTTGTATCGGCGGGCGTCATGGTCGTAGCAGAATCGTCCGCAGACGAAGACCCAGCGAGAGAGCCCTCTCTTGGCGGCGTCTTGAAAAGAGCGGCAGACAAGCTTGCAGGTAGAGTGCTGCGCGTGTCCTCGGGTGGAGGACTAGCCTTGGCTGGCGAGTCAGCTTCCAGCCTTCCCTGGCGAATCTCTACGCCACCCATATCTAACGGCTTGGCACCACGCGGCCGAGGTCTGTCAAGAACACTGACTGGAGGCTTCGCAGCCGCAGAGCTTGCTTCGCTCTGCCATGCGCTCCCAGCGAACAAGCTTTTGTACTGCTCGGCAGGGCTACCCACCGAGTCCAACGTGCCGGCGCTCGCTGCAGAGGCCTGGCGAGCGTGCGAAGCGCTGTTCGAAGTGTGGGTCGAAGCGAGCAAGTCGGCGCGGCTGCGCACAGACTTGTCGTCTGCCTGGTTGAGAAGCCACGCAGCAGCGAAGCTCGGCGCAATGCCGCTCTCCAAGCTCTTCGTCTCGGCAACGTTGCCGGCCGCATTCTGACTAAGCTCCGCGCGCTGCTGGCGAATCTGTATCAGCCGCTCGTGAACAGACGACTCGGCATTCGAGCCTTTGCCACTGTTCTGAATGATCGAAGCCCTGTTTGTGTTGCCTGTGCGGGCAGCCTCTTGCTGTTTGGCGCTCGCATCAAGCCCCAATCGATCGATTGTAGTGTCCGACCAGTTCCTGCGATCGAACGTGTCCAACATGCCTGCTAGACTGTCGCCAAAGAAATCATCCCCCACCTTGATGGATCGAAGCCTTTCCGACTCCAGTTGCGCCTTGGCACGCAGTTCCGCGTCATCTTCCGAACGCTCACCACCGCTGTCAGAGTCCCCATCTCGCATGCGCATGCGACGCGAGGACGAAGCTTGCGATGGCGCTCGACTGCCTCGCAGCATGTTGCTGATGGCAAACGAAGCGCCGAGGCTGAGGTCGCTGAGCCGTCTAGGTAGAGTACCAGGCCGGATGGACGACGCGCGACTCGCCGGTCCGCTGGCCCCACTGCTCTTCCGTGAAGCCGCTTCCGAGTCTGTTGTATCCAAATCCTCTGCGTCAGATTCTGCTTTGCGATCGCTATCCCTTTGCTCAGCGGGAAACACTTCAGCACTCTGTTCCTGCGAAGGTTTGGGTGGCAATGATGGCGCAATGCTCTCCGCGGATGCGGTAGAGGCCAATGCGCCTTGTGTGATGGGCCCCTCTTCGCTGAGACTTTCCTCACTCTCGCTGTCCGTCTCTTCGCGTGTTACTTCGGCAATTGGTCGATGACCCTTGAGCAGAGCTTGATTCGGGACGTCCTCTACACTGATGGCAGGAGTTACGGAAGTGGCTTGCTGATTGACTTCCGCAGCCACATTCGTGCCCGCAACGTTCGACTTTTTCAGGGCAGCTGCGAAAGCAGAGTGTCGGGCTTGCGGAACGGGCGGGGAGCGCGGCCGCATTTCATGTCCACCTGCGCTGCTGCTGTCCTCATCCTCTTCTACCAAAGCATCGAGCATCGGGACTTGACGAGGCGCCGTTTCATCGCTTTCTTCCGACTCCGTTCCAGATTGGGATTCCTCGCCTGAAGATTGTGATTCGTCATCTTTTCCTTGAGCGAGCGGTGGTGATGGGGACAAGTCCCGATGGAGAGATGCAGAGGAACCTGGTCGCGGAGGTTGGCCAGCGGCCGACGTTTGCGGGACTTCGCTGGAGGCCGGCGCTGCCTGAGCCACTGCCTGAGCATGGCTTTGCAGGTGCTGGTGCACAGCAAGTGTGTGCACCGAGCCATTTGAAGGCGCAACGGCATTCAAGGCAGCTGCATGCTGTTGGACGGCCCAAGCACGTTGGTCTAGAGGCTGTGTGTGCGCGGCCTCAGGTCGCGCTGGAGGATGTGAAGTGGCGAGACTAGACACAGATCGACTTTCGCTGGCCTCGCCAATGACTGAGCCTGGACGAAGACCAGCATACGATTGCATCCCTTGCTGATCGACAAGCTCAGCCGCGGACTCAAGCGGCGCGCTCTGGCCAATGACTTGCGCAGCAGCTCTTGCGAGCAGATCTTGGTGCACCACCCCAGGGTCTCTACTTGCTTGGTCCGCCAAGGCATCCTGCTCCAACTCTCTGCGTACCCTCTCTGCTGCGCTTCTCCGCCTCTGCACTTTGGCATCTTTTGCTGAGGAAGCGGATGCCGCCACAGCGAAACTTTGGACTCGGCCATTGACATTTTGGGGACCATTCATGCTTGCGATGAAAGCGGACCAGTCCTGCGATGCATCCTGTCCCTTTGAACTTTGTCGCTGTCTAGCTGCTTGAGCTTGCAGATCCGGGCTCGATGCGGTCGATAGACGCTTGCCATCACGTTTCGCCGAAGATGACCGCACAGAGCCGCTTTGAGACGGCGGCGGTGGGCTTCTGGAGCGAGCGAGGGCCGGATCTGGCTGGCCTAGTGGAGCTACGCCCTGTGTTGCGAGACGACCAGCTTGTGCCGGGCCAGTATTCCCGTTCATAGCCCTCAGCGCACTCAAGTCGTGCTGTGGTAGAGGAGGAACTGGACTAGGTGATGCCATGCGTGATCTGCTGCCCGAGGGCTCCCCGTACTCGCTGAAAGTGCCATGTCGTCTTCTGCTAGAGTCCGTAGCTCCCGCACCAACGCCTGCCCAGCCTGCTGCACGTCCAGAAGAAGGTTCGGCAGGTTCTGAGAAGATGCTTTCGCCCGTAATGCTTGGAGCTCTGCTTCCTCCAGACTTGCCTAGCCCGCGAAGTGAGCCCTCCCACCACCGACTTCGGCGCCGCTCGCCTGTGACGCTGTCTGCAACCGTGCTAGGTGGCGCGATGCTGCTCGCACCATCATCAATGATGCTGTTCTTCTTCTTGCGACCGAATCGCAAACTGCCGCCAGTCACTGATCCGCCTACAGAAGCACCTTTGGTCCTACCAAGTGTTCCCTTGGAGAACATGGAGCCGGACAGAATGCTCGAGGGCGCGTTGGGCGCATTTGGAAGGTCGCTGGGAGCTTGCCATCCTCGCGGTGTCCTGCTTCGAGAGGACGAGGTCAAGTTTGGATCGGGTGCAGTGTAGGATTGAGAGGGGCGATTGAGAATGGAGTCGAGCATAGAACGTCGACCCATGATTGAAAATGGCCTAATCGGCGAGTGGCAGCTTCTCTTTAGGTGCTAGCTCGAGTAATGGATGCCGTGCGTTGTCAAGTCCTGCTTGATCACGCCCAGAGGATGCTTTGTTGCTCACGAGCTACTACAGAACGCTGTCGCGTTGCTTTGCACTCCTAGTCCCTTACGCACCAGCCTGTCTTCTTGCGAGGTCATTGGGGCGCGCAGTGGCGTTAGGAGAGAGATGCTACGAGCCTGCCGAAGGGCAGAGATGATTGGTGTACACCAAGTGTCTGCACTACGGAAAGACGGGTCTCGTGAATCACTCTCAAGTGGCAGCAATGTGGAGAAAGGAGCGCATACACGAAGTTGGGAGCTCACTTCGCTCGATCGAGCGTCGTATCCACGCCGAAATTCATTCCTCGCCTCGCAGTGACGCAAACGGGCTGACCGCTCCGAGCCCCTGCGGCCACTCGTACACACTATTCGCGATTCACGATTCGCCACTGAGGTACTGCGACTGTCTGATGCAAATTAATTGGCCCTTCGCGACAACCGCACTCAGACAATAGAGAAATCAGAATGCACAAAAAGAATAATGACACAACAGCGGTCGGGCAGCGATCCAGCCCGCACGCCGCATGGCCTTCCCTTCGATCCACGCCATTCGATGCTCGCCATCCGGCCACGCCATCTTCGTCTGAGCGAGTCGCGATGCGATGGCTTCGACGCGTAGCTTAGCGCAGCTCAGCAGGAGCAGGCGATCGCATTCCTTCAACTCCGACGCATCCACAAGCGCATCACCTGCAGATCCGCGAGGAGACGAAGCAAAGCCAGCCAGCCAGCCAGCCAGCCAGCCAGCAGGCGATCAGGCGGCATGCAAAAGGAGCGGCTAGGCCAGATCGATTGAATTCAGATTGGAGTGAACGTGCATGCAGCTTTGCATGGGTGCTCAGCATGCAAGCAGCCACTTGATGACGCGCGCTACCCTGCCACTCGCTGCACGCATCAGAGCTCATATACAGTCAGACTGTAGCTCTTATATTCACTCACTGATTTCCAACGGTCAGCCATCGGCACCAGCGCGGACATACGGGTACGGTACATTGTGCCTTTGCACGGGCCCCGCACACGTACGCCATCGCCCCGAGCATTTGGGAGAGTCAAGTGGCGAGTAGGTACAGTCGTGAGCGTGCACTTCAGCCAGCTGCTGTAGACGCCGAGAAGACTTCGCGGCAGACCGAACTCTTGGCCCAACGCATGCTGCGATATGATCGGCGAGCCGCGCCGGTCTCGAGAGCGCAAGCAAGGCCAAAGGGGGGGCGGGGAATGACTTCCGATATACCAAAGACTCACCGCTGCATGTGTTCGCGATTCCAGTTATTTGAGTGTGCAGCCCTTGATTTTCTGCCCATGACTCTCCATGCACATGCCGCTACGACCCTCACATTGCGGGCCAAAGAAGCTTCGGACGGCTCACAGGTGCTCTACTGCATAGCGCGTAAGCACATGTCCTTCATCGAGCTCGCGGTCCAGTACCACGAGCATAGAAGCATCAGGCGGCCATACCCCAAGCGAAGCCCTTCGTGCGCTGCTCGTCACTCACACTCACTCACGACTGCGACTCGTGGCGCACAGCTGCTCTTCTCTCCGCCCAACCCATCCATCCCAGCTGTCCTCGATTCGCAGAGACGCGAGCGCGGAGTCAGCAACACGATTATTCACGATTGTGGGACCGACTCAACACCGATGTGTGATGTTGATGCGCCCTCCAAAGATCTGCGGCCCAGCGCTGCTGCGTGCACCTAACGATAGCGCCGTTAGCGGTTGTCCATGGAGCTGCATCCGCGCAGCAACTTTCGGTCAAGCTGCAGCTACTGTAGATCACCCACAGCTCACATCAGCTTTGGTACAGCAAGAGTTATCCTACGCCTCCCGGCCCCTTGCTGCCGCATGAAGAGTCTCGGAACACAAGAATGCTGCATGCCTGCAACGGCTTTACCTCACAAAGAACGACGGAAGTCAAAGGGGAGCAGATGGGGGCAATTGGACCCTGCCTGACCCTGACTGGCTGCTCCGCTCCTGCGGAAAGAGATCAATGTGGAGAGCTTCGAGCGCGGCCGGACGCTGTGGCTTGACTGCTCGCTTCAAAAGTCCTCCAGGCTCATCGAGAAGTACAGCACCACGATTCCTGCAAGCGTAAAAGACATGGATGAATGGATGCTCTCCAAATGTGAATGCGTGCTCCCTCGGCCGTCGCTTGCCGAATCTTGTCGAGTCGTGTGGACGCTGAAAGGACAGAGGCGAGTGTGTAGGTTACAGAGCTGACAAGACGAGCGAATTTGTCAGGCTGCGAGAAAAAGACTCGATCAAAACGACAAAAAGCAGTGAGTGCACTCCGAGCTGTGTCGAAAAGTTTTCAGTCCAACATCACCGAGAAGAGTAGGATTGCATCATCCATTCAAACTGTGAATCAAGAATGTGCCTTTGCCCGCACACATCTCCGCGATCACAAATTGAATGGGGCCCGCACGAGTGGCTGTCGAACACCTGTGCGCCATCTGACATCAATCATCCTTCGGCTCGAGCTTGGTGGGTCGAAACGCCGGACTCACCAGCAGATGGCGGCTCATGCTGCTCTGCATACAGTACGTGATTGGGTCAGCAGACTCAAGACCGTCGTGAATGTCGTTATAGAGCTCCGTGCTATGACTGCCAGAGAGCTGGCGGCTTCACAATATCGGCCATGTGATTGGGTGCAAAGCAGACCGCAAGGGCAAATCAAAATCACGATGGTGCAAAGTGTAGAACGTGACAATGACGGCGCGCATGTGTCTGCGCATAAAGGAGACAGCTCGAGTCGTGAGTCAGGTATGTGAGTGCTTGCGGTACAATGAAAGATCTGAGCAACGTGCATGAGGGCAATGTATGGCCGGACCCTATGATGTGGCGGGGAGACAGCGAGGACGCAGGGGTCGGCGAGCAGGTAAGATGTGGGTAGGAGGGAAGAGGCTATGCCGCATCGGTCGACATAAGAAGTGGTGGGTCCTCATCCATCAATGGTTCAATGTCATAGCGAGCTTGCTCAGGAAGCACCTGAGCAGAAGCTGCAAGAGGGGGTAGAGCATCCCAAAGGCTCCAAGCGCCAGCCAAAGCGCTCCAGCTCCACCAGGGTATGGAAGGGGCATCCTGCGCAGCAGAATTCCACTGCTTGATGCGGTTGCTCAGCGGATTCGAAGTGTTGGGCACGACGCCGAAACCTTCGCCGCTTGTCGCCACGCTGTCGTAGGAGGGACAAACCGCTCGACGACCTTCTTCCGGTGTCACGTCGGCTGCTCGACGAGCGAGAGCTGCTTTGGGCTGCTGAGCAGCTTCTGACCCCGCGTCCGCCCCTTCTGTGCACAGGTGTTGGTGAGCGTGATGCAGCTGTAGATGATGATCGTGGTGCGCAAGAACGTGCTGGGCTCGTCCTTGCAAGGAAGTACTGAGCGGCGCGGATGTTGAGCTGCGTGTTAAGGTCGAGCTCCGGTTAGGGCTCGAGGAGCTAGAATTTGTGAGCAAGGCCTGGCTTTGAGCGAGTGTGCTGTTCGAGCTCGATGTTGATGCCGATGGTGAGGCCACGGGGGTCGGCGCATCTGACGTTGGTGCAGGTGCGGTTGCGGAAATGAGACTGTACAGATCGGGATCGCTAGGACAACAGGCGCTCGATTCTTGTGCCCAATCCGAACCCAAAGCCGCTGGATCGTTGGAGCCGGCCCATCGCGAACAAGATACGAGCCTGTAGCTGACATTCCACACGCTGTTTTTCACGACACCATAAAGTGGCGTAGTGAGTGATCAGCGCTCATGGCGATCGTCGATGATCCACGACTCACCCATAGTCGTGATCTCCTGGAAAGAAGTCTTTTGCGATGCCCTTGCTTGGCCACGCCAAGTCCCAGTGCACGTAGGCGCCCAGCTTGTTTGGTTTGTCGCTCGTTGCACCGCACCAGTCTGTGCCAGGGCACTTGTCGGTCACCTTTACCACAACAGAGGGCCCATCGCTGCCGAGATCCACTCCATCGCCTTCTGGAGGAAGCGGCGCAAGTGGCGTGTTCAGTAGTCGGAGCTCAGCACACAGCCCGCAAGCCGGTCCAAAAGAGCCGTTGGAGCCATACACTAAGCTGTTGATCGCTGCGGTCGGATGGCGAGTTGATCGACCCACACAGCCGCAGGATGCGATGTAGTCGTCAGGCAGATCGTAGTGCGTGAGAGTCGCCCATCCAGATACGAGATCGTCGGGAAACTGCCAAGCGGAGACTTGAACTGGCAGCCGAAGCAGCGGCAGTGAGATCAAGAGCGCACCGCACACAGTGTTTGCTAGTCGATCCAAGCGCGAGGGCGACATTACGCAACCCGGCAAGGGCAACTAGCTGCCTCAGCGACAGATGCGGTCGCGTGTACGGGTCTAGAAAAGAACTGAGGGCCGTAAATAGAATGTCGAGGCATGCGGTGAATCAGACGCGAGAGTTCGGTAGTAGTGTCAGTGCATACAGTCAGAATGGAACAGTTGCGAATGCAAAGCGTACATCACTCGATTGCGCTTTCACTCAAGAGTCGAAAGTCAAATCCATCAAATCAGAAAGAGTCAAAAGTAATCACTTGACATGAGGCACCGGTAGCCAGAAGAGGCTGCCCAAACTTAATTGCGGTATCCCCGCGCGCGACCTGCAGGCTTTCCCCCCCACCCCACACGCGCCTGCTCTATAACAGGTCATGTGGTCGCAATCCTTGGTTTTGCTTTCGCTTTCAGACGCCTCTTTGTTCGCGATGCTGGATGCATAAATGCAACCCCGCAAGGCTGCGCGCAAAGCGACCACATCGTGCAGGATGCCGACGAGATGCAGCACCTCCGGTTGGCACCGTCCGTGTAGAGAGCCAGGGATGCGTTGATACGCTATGCCGGCGCTGGCATCACCCGGTCCATTTCATCGCGATGTACCTTACCGCCCTTGGTCCTCGTCATCCATCATTCAGCCTCTCCGTCTCTCGCGCCAAGGAACCTTTTCCCTTTCTTCAGTAAACCCTCCACCAAAACCGCAGCGCGCATCCTTTACACGTTCGTGACTGAATCCCCCCCCCCCCCAAAAGCCAG